GGAATGCCTAATTGGGAAAGTGTGCATCAACCTCAACCAAAATATCCAAAATAACTTCACAACCTCTGAACTACCTTTTGATTGTGGGAACATCGACATACCTGCACTGAACATTACATCTAGGAATTTCTCATTTGTTCTAGACGTGTGTGTATACAGACCAAATGATTCCGTGCTAGAAGATGATCTAAAACTCTTCACAAATACCATAACAAGCCTTGGTGCCAACCACCAAAATCCTATTATAGCTGGCGACTTTAACCTTCCTGGAATCTCATGGCCTCTGACGAATCTAGGTCTATCAAGGGACGGGGCAGTCCTTTTAGGGGAAACTCTAACAAACTTAGGTCTACACCAGATCAACACGTAACCAACCCATTACGAAGAGAGTCAAACCTCATCACTCTTGGATCTGATCATAGTTAATGACACACACCTTATCACCAAACAATATCACCTATCGGAAAATCAGACCATGAACTATTAAAACTAACACTGCAAGCAAGATTTGTTAACACAGATTCAAGAACAACAGTACATAGAGTGAATAGTGAAACGTGAAACACATCATATTATCGCAAATCAACTAGGAAGAAGTCCTCTCTGATGACAATATAGATATAGTATGGGCCAGCTTTCACTCAGAACTAGAGACAATATAGCAACACCAAATACAAAATCAAAAGAGTGAATAACCTGAAACCATGGATAACTAACAACCACATCCAAGACTCTAGGAGAAAAAGGTCCCTATTGAAAAAAATCCCACAAACCACTAGGAACACCGCACCTTTTCCAACACTCTAACACAACAAATCAAAGAAGCTAAGCTGGCATATATTGATAGCCTAACAAACTTTGAGAACCTCAAAAAAACTACACAAGTACATTAGGGCCGTTACACACGGACGTGGATGGCTTGATACATATACATGCATATATCGATGTGCAAACAACAACATGCATGTCACCCTTGTACAGACGCTCGCACAAAACTGTCAATCTTGCTACTCTTGCTACAGTATTTCGAGCGTGCATACAAATTTTCTAGCAATTCCAGAATTCATTTGAGCGTCATTCTACAGTTTGCACATTCAAAAACGCGACGATATTTTGCATACACATTGATGTTTTTGTTTGAGTGTTCATGTATGTGCGTACATGCTTTCAGACATCCACGTCCGTGTGTAACCGCCTTAAGATCACACCTCGGATCACACTAAACACAAAGTAGCCTATTTTAGAAACTACAAATGGGGAAATGTGCACAGACATATTCAGAAAGTCACCATCTTGGCAAAAGAGTTTTCAAAAGTATTCACGACGGAGGCATTAATTTCTGAAGATCTCCAAATGAACTTCGACAGGGTACCAAATGAAATCATAACTATTCAAATCACCACCTAAGACATCCTTAAGAAGATTAAAGACTCGAAAGTTTCCAGGTCTGGATGGAATATCCTCATTAGTTCTTAATAAGTGTCCTAAATAATGAATATGTCACTGGAGCAAAAAAGGCTCCCCGCAACTTGGAAAGTTGCATCAGTCACATACAGAAAATGTGATAAATTAGATGCTGGAAACTACAGGCCAATGAGCTTGCTACCCATTGTAAGCAAAATCATGAAATCTGTGGGAACAACAAAAACTGCTGAGCTTCCAAAATAGATAAACAAGAGGAGATCTTATCTTCACCTACCAAACACTCCACAGGAACATACAAACAGTTAGACACTTCTATGCCTTGAACACAGACCAGATAATCCAGGGTCACAGTCTCAAACAACTTTACAGTGTGTAGGGAGAACTTTCTACCAAACAGAGTCTTTGCCCTCTGGAGCATAGAACATGTAGAAAGAAAGTCCAAATTCATCTTAAAAACCACAAAATGGTCTAAATTTGTGCTAAAAGTGCCTTTTCCCTGAAAAATATTTCAATTTCTGCTCTAGAACTCACTTATTTATTTATTGATTTATTTGTACAGACGGGCTGGGCCCAATCGGTTACAGTAATATAATATAATAATAAGTACTCGAATAAGTACTATGACCTAATCTAAGACTAAGAAAGAATAAAGCTTATTTTTTTTAAATCACTTATCAAACAACATGTTTAGGTATATAAACATAACAAATAGATAATATTTGACAATCATAAAATAAATGAGACTACACAATATGAACCACTAACAATTACGATTTTTTAGGTACTTCTTCAGACTATACTATTACTGTGACACGATAAATAAATCTTTCTCACAATGATCATAACTTTTCTTAATTCTATTTATTGCACTATTCTGGCCCCAAAGAGTCCTATTCTGACGCAGTACAAAGGTTCTTTGGTATCTTAAAAGTCTAGAGGGGACAAAAATAGTATATTGTTGTATTAGGAGTAGAAGCTTTACTTTTTTGTGCTGAAGCAGTAGGTTTGCGAGCCGAACGTAGTGAGGCTTGCAATACTGCTGAAGCACAAAAAAGTGCTTCTACTCCGTATGCAACACACTATTTTTTCTCCAAACGAATGGGGTAAGCTCGGGGGTAACTGAATGGTTGAGCGGCAGTAAAAGTACGAGCGGCACTAAAAGTACTTTTGCTGCCGCTGGGGTTGCCAAGCAGCATAGAAATTAAATTTCTACCACCTCGATAGGTGTTAACCTGCTGGATTTGCCTACCAGCATAGAAATTAAATTTCTGACATCTTGACAGGGGTTAACAAAGTGACGTTTTTTTGTCGTTTGGAGAAAAAAAAAATTAATCTAAACAATATCTCTGGACAGTCGCATAAGCCAATAATTAATTTATGAGCGAAAACTATAGCAGCAGTTTCTCTTCTATTTTTTAGAGAGCCAATTTTTGGACTGCTTTCCAATTGATGATAATTTATTTCCTCCATGGAAATGTGCATCTTATATGCTATATATCTAAGGAACTTCCTTGATATGTAATAAAGTAAGGAGACCATACACTGGAAACATCCAACTTCTCCAACTTACTGAGTATTTCTGATATTTATATGTAAAAAGGTCCTGAGGTGAAGTACGAATTAAAGTTAGAGTGTGACTCACATTGAGTATGTGCACCTGGGGGTTCATAGACACTGGCAAAGTGATTAGAAAATGCATTTGCAATATTGCCATCATCAAATGGTGTTTCATTGTATTTAACAACAGAGGGCAGATCATTACAGTTATTTTTGGAATTAATATACCTCCAGAATGCATTAATGTCATTCTTCAAACTATTTTCACCATGTTGTGTACATACTACAAAGATCTCCAAATTTAAGATAATCTTCTCTTAACTTTCTCTCTTTAAAATTTTTATGTGCCCTTTTTTTTTCGAGAGTTAATTGTTTTAGTTCATAACTAAATCATATTGGAAATTTAAAATTTTTTCATATTAATATCTTTGGCACAAACATTTCTACGATCTAACTAAATATTTCATAGAAGTTATCATTCTCAAAATCATAGACTGGCTTTTCAAATTGCAGTGGTTTATAATCGTTAACCTCAAGTATACTAACCAGAAATGCTGGGTGATGATTATCACAAGACAAAAGAATATCACATGGACAAATCACATCTGTTTTATCATTATTACTAAACACTCGATCTAATAATACATTAATAAATTTTTTATATTATTTACTTGATTACCATTGGCAAGCAACATTGTGCTGACAAGGAGGTCGCCAGCAGCATTATTGCTACTGCATGCAGGTAGAACATTCTCTTCCTCCAAAAACTGGAGGTTGGGTAGATTGTAATCACCGAAAATATACCTTTTATCACATTCTTCACTCATATTTTCAACAGTATCACATTGAGATTCATACTCACCCATTCTACATTGAGGTGGAAAATATACAGCACATAAATATAAATTTTTAAAGCTACCTACAGAAACATTCACCCTGAGCTCCTCATGTCCAATACATTCCTCAGTCCAACTAACAACATGAGCTTTTATATTTCTTCTGACACCTACGAGAACACCTTATTCTCTAGTTTTGCCTGTTGCAGCACAATTCCTGTCTTTCCTAAATATGTTATAGTTAATTTTTCCCAACTCAGTATCATTATAGTCTGAAGTTAACCAGGTTTTGGTGAAAACAATATCATAACGACACAATGAAACACTGTTGGCCAAGTGGACTAGCTTAGTTCTTAGACCTCTGTCGTTTTGTAGTAGATTTTGATGTTCCCGGATCTCTTCTCTTCTACTATCATATGGTCTGCCGCGCTTTCGAAAAACGAAAGGTTTTACAGAACATTCTCCGGCGATAGCTTACTGTCATATAACAAAGACTCAAGATTTTGTGATACGGTCACCCTAAAGTTTGCACTAGGATAACTAAGGGAGGTTACCTTACTACAGGATACAACGTTTATATTTTTCGATCTCAGATATTGTTTTAGCTGATCCTAAGTGGAGTCTGTATTTGGATTTCCGATGTAAATTGATCTTCAATCCTCAAAAGCTGAGAGTTCGGTAATGTTCTTATGTGTGCTCTTCACCACCTACTTTCCTCTATTTTTAAGATCAGGAAATAGTCTTGTTTCAGATTCTTTGTCGCTTTCAAGATTAATGTAATTATTTAAATTCATTTGCATTTCTGCTTGAGTAACAGCATTTGCTACTTGACTGTTAGAAATAGGCCCACACGTTTTTGTGTCAGCGGTTCCACTATTTCTGGCTGATGTATTTTCATTTTCATTTATTTTCTTTTCATTTGAATCCATGAGGCATTTCATTCATAGCTAGTGTCATGTCTTCGAAATGTTTATCAATGCTGGTAGATAAAGTGTTCTCCAACATTACCTCCAGGAATATGGTCTGACACTTTGCTACATTTAATTTGATTTTCTATTACTTTTACTTTATTTGCCAGGTCGTCCAGCACGTTTTTGGTGGAAGTTATTCACTTACAACAGGTTCATAAAATATTTACTTAAAGTTTGGCCCTAAATTATTATTTTATTTTTTATTTTCTAGCAGGAGGACCCGTACAGGAAAAAGAAACTTTAGAATTCGAATTAAAAATTAAATGTAACAAGGATTCAAGCAAAAAAGATTCATCTAGAGCAGAAGATATGTACAAAAATTCAAATGGTAAGTAATAATCGAATTCAAACTGTTGGGGATCCAAATATTATATGATTTATTGTCCTTGATAGGGTAGGACCGAAAAAAAAAACAGAAAATTTACTTTTTTTTTTGGTAATATTGTCCTGAAGATTTAAATAAATTTTTTCTCCGAATGACAGTAAAAGCGGCCTTTTAATGACACTTGACAGGATCAAAAATTGTATTTTTACTGCCTAGGCAGTAAAAGTGGATTTTTACTGCCTAGGCATTAAAAGTGACAGTGTCACAACGTTCCAGGTAATAATTTCACTTAATTTGGTATTTGAAATTGATGGTGACAATGACAATTGTCAAAATAATTTAATTATTTGGATAATAATAATGAATGAAATAAATATAAAAAAGATGTACATGTGTGAATTTGAACATTTGGAGAAAAAATTATATGTTTTACATGGCAGAAAAGCAGATTTAATGCCTCGGCTGGTTTCCTAGCCTCGGCTATGAAACACCAGCCGCGGCATTAAATCTTATACTTTTCTGCCTAGTAAAACAAATAACTATTTTCTGCGATTGACAAGAAATGTCAGCATTTTTGACCGGTTGACAGGTCGCAAAACTCAATATTCTGGTATTTCAATTGTTTCAATAGTTGCTAAGGAATCAATGAATAACAATACAGAAAACACTTTTCTGGCCTAGGCCGGGGAAGTGATTCTCGTACTGATGAATAATTGGAACTGGAAGACAAACATTTAACAGGCATTCAACCGATCGCAGAAAAAATAGTATGTGTATTTCGGTGGGAAAGCACATTCTCAGCCTTCAGTGTTTGCCGGCCTCAGCTACGCCTCGCCACTATCAGCCGAGAATGTGTCACTTTTCCACCTAGATACACAATATACTATTAACAAACCAGGGTTGGTAAACAATTTTCTCCACTTTGGTTTTTGGATGGAGATTTTTATATTCTAAATAATCACAAATATCCATCCATACAAAAATTCACAAAAACATCCTTCAAAATATTCAAAAGAGAAGAAAACCCAACATTTCTTTACTGACCCTCAGTTGATTATTTATAATACATGAAAATATTTATTAAAAACATAATTATCCACCAAAAATCCACTATAATACAACTAACCAGATTTTTGCCAGCCCAGACTTTTGAAATTTTTTTTCTTGATTCTTTTCCAATCAAAGAAAATAAATCAGACAAGCAACAATTTTGTATTAACTTATTTTTTTTATTAGTTTATTCAAAACACATAAAATGGGTTCCTATCGGCAACCAAAAATCCAAATTCAAAGAATCCGATGTGGGCCCTATCCATCCAGACATATTAATCGCTAAAATGAGGCCTGGACATGAAATGGACCTCAAATTGTTTGCTTCCAAAAGTAACGGGAAAGATCATGCTAAATTTTCACCAGTTGGTAAGAAATAAGATTTGATACGTATTACCGTACAATCATTCTAAATGTGTACTTTTTAGCTACTGCTTTCTATAGGCTGCTTCCAGAAATAAAAATAGTAAAACAAGTAGAAGGAGAGGCAGCTTACAGATTGCAAAAATGCTTTTCTCCAGGTGTCATTAGTGTCCGAACTGAAGGGGATAAGAAATATGCTGTTGTAAATAAAAATCATGCCAGATATGATACGAGTAGTAGAAATGTTTTTAGATATGAGGATTTAAAGGATACTGTTGTAATGTCTAAGGTCCAAGATCATTTTATATGTAAGTAATATTGATTTCAATAATTATTATTAGGAAAAATTTATTTTTTTTTTGTCAAATTTTAGTTACTATTGAATCAGTCGGAGCTTTACCACCTGAGGCTATATTTAAGGAAGCTATTAATATTTTGAAGGATAAATGTTTTTCACTTTTAACTGAACTTAATTCGTGAAAGGTAGGATTAGTTTAATAAAACATTTATTATACACTTCAAGAGTTTCATTGCAGCGATTTTTGCTATAAGATTGTTGGGTTTTGGAATAATTTGCCGAAGTTAGTTCAGAAATATTTGTTTCATAAAAAGAATTATTGAGCGAATGACTTCTTTGGGAAGTAATAATGAAATCAGCTAGTGAAATAAACACACATAAATTTATATGAAAATAATTTAATATTTTATTAAAGAATACCTAGTAACAACATAATTTTTTAGTATAAACCAGTATCCAATCAAAAAACAATATTTTGCTCTTAAAATATATGTAATTATTTGTAGTTATAATCTCCTTAACCAGTCCAGACAACTTAAATATATTCCATGAAAAGAGTGTAAAAACCAAGTATAATAGGCTCGTTCAGTGAGGTTCCATTAACCACGTTTTTTGATATTTTTATGGAGTATTACTCACATATAGCACACAAAAAAAAATTCAGCGCAATTGGATAAATATTAAAAAAGTTATGCGGCTTTGAATAATAAAACATTATGCCTCAGAAATTCATCGCTTAGAGATGGTATGACGTCATCTCTCGAGTCAAAACGGGCTAAAGGCCGTCACACGACCAACTTGAGAGATGCAGTGACGTCACCGCGTGTTTCGAAATTTCCAAACTTGGAGCTTTTTGATAATTTATTTAAATATGAACAAGGGCTCGGAAAATTATGAAATTTTGCACAACTGCTAAACTCAATACGCTCTTTTAGAATATGTAATAAAAAAAATATGCTGAACGAGCCTATTTACTGGCTAGGCTAGAAAGTCATCAATTTGAAGTGAAATTTTTTCCATAGTTTTTAAAATAATTTAAAACTTAGATTCGAGGCATAGAAAATAAACAATACAAAAAAAAACATTAAAATAAAAAGTACATAAATTTTAAAGCATAGCAATTTGTGTAAATTTTGTCTATTAGGTACTTAGTGGAAAATATGATTATTGCTTTTGGTTAATAATAAAATAACTAAACTAAATCCTCAAAGAAAATAAACAACTATTTCCCGCAGTAACCATAATAAAGAGCTTGGTGAGCAAATTCGGTAAAAAGTAACTATACATAATAACTAGGAGGTACTGAAAGATCACTCAACACTGTCAATTCGTCTTCTGTAAACTTCAGCTTGTGCACTTCCCAATTGGCGTGATGAGTTCTTTTAAAGTCGCCCATTGTTTTACGAATGGTCGCCTGAATATCAAAATATTTACAATTTAGACTTTTGAATAGTTTTGTACTTACAGGTATCGGTTGAGGATCGCTCAAGTGTGGCCCTAAAGCTTCAAAAACGGTCGGTAAATAATCGGGAACGTCATACGGATGCGCGTTAATAAACGAACAAAGGCCCAACACCCCTGCGTGTCTTATAATGAGATTTTTACTAGCATCCTGTGTATCCCTTGTGGATATACCTTTCTTCAGTTTTGTGCGGGATTTTTGTTTGAAAATTTTCTGGAATTAGGAGTTAATAATATCTATTTATTTGGTATTTTGAGCTAGATAGTTTTTTATGGATAATAATTAAACTATCCAAACTTTCATAAAAATTCGTAATGAGTAAATTGATTCTAATTGTAAGAAAAAAATTACCAATAATTCAGTTGGTTCTGGTATAAATTGGCAATGTAGTAAACCACTAACAACTTTGGCTGCTTCTATGCGTACTTCTGGCTGTGGATCTTCCAATAATTCCAACACTAGCTCTTGGATCTGAAATAATAAATAATAAATTAATAATATTGTTATTTAGAACACCTTTATTGAATTGTTGATTGTGGGGTCGACAGTTGAGCTATTGCGGATTCTGGGGTCAACTGTTCATTGAGAGTCAGACTCTGCGGCTGAATTGAGCCTTGAGTAGGCTGACAACTGATGACTGGAGTATTCAAAAAATGTTTTTCAGCATGTACTTTGTAGTGAGGAACTATTTGATGGTTTATGTGACAAATGCAAGAAAGTGCTATGTAGGAACTGCGAAAAATGGTCAGCCACTGAAGGTCGATTTATTGCACTAATAACAAGAAGAGTGCCCTTTTTATGTAGATCGTGTGCTGATGATAAAGATTTTGATAATGTGTTATTATGAACGAATTGGAAGAGAAGAATGAAGAAATCACCGATCAGTTCCAAATTCAGATTAGAAATCTAAATGACGGCTTGAAAGACAGAGAGCTTAATATTCAAAGATTAAGGAAAAGTTCCGTGGATTTTAATGATGATGCTTTTATGGTCGAAAATATGTTAGAGACAGAGATTAAAATGCTAAAAAACTCTGTAAATCTTCTCAACAAAAAAAATCTAAACATGACCGAGGAAAACATGAGATTCAAGAAAAGAGTTCAAGAAAGTGAATTGACAATTGAACATATGGTCGGTCTCCGCACGTAGTGGCGTAACTAGCATTTGGTAAATTTCTCAGGAGAGGAAAAAAACGAAAGTGTAACCAAATTAATTAGCTCTCCAGTGAAAAATATGAGAGCTGTGCTAATTATTATTTTTTTATTTGTTTGGTCAATAGTTAGGCTTTATATAGGTACTATCAAGAAATTGCAAGCTTTTCCGGTTTTCCGGAAAAAAAAAATATTTTGAACAATTTCGCCTCTATGTGATCATGTTTTTCAAAGATTTTCAGTTACGCTAAAATAATATATTCAGTTACGCTTCTATGTTATATTCTTTTGCTTAATAGTGTCATTTACGTCAAAATAGTTTTTACAAAAAAATTGAAAAAACACAGTCAAAAACCAATAATTTTATTTAGAAACTGCCAATTCACAATGAAAATAAAAAAAATATATTAGAAAAACAATAAAAACTAACCAACTTCGAAAAAAAATCTTACAAGCGATCCGCTTCTAGACAAATACTGGAAACTGGAAGCTAAATATTTTGTAGGTAATGTTATGGGTGTAAAAACCTAAATACATTACTTGCAGATTGTAGATACGCCACCGCAAGAAATTATTGAATAAAAATTTTTCAATCTCACGTAAGGGCGTGAGTGAATATACGCCTATACATGGAAAATAAATTATATTATATGTCAGATAAGCCAAAATCTAACAATTAATTCAGCAAAACAGTTAGGCCTATACGTTCAATAATGCTTGAGCTCATAGAGCACCTGAAAATATGTATTTTACTGGCGTAACTCAAAACTACGTGCGGAGACATATCGTCGGTCTCCGCCGACTGTTGCTAATGAAACCAAGATAAACCAATTGGAGCAGTCTTCGTTATCAACTGGAAAAAAAAAACATTTGGAAGAACTAGGAAAGCTTAACCTTCGCAGAGCAAAGTTAGAGGAACAAATAGCAATGTTGAAGATTAAATCGAGTGAATTATTGAATAATATTGGGAATCTCGAGCTTGAATTGTCCACTTCCGCCATAGTGATCAAAAGGTTCAAGATTTAAAAAGGAATCAACGAAGTAATATTGATGAGCAATGAAGTCAAAATGGCATAATTAAGAAGCTGAATGATCGAGAGCGTGAAATTACCAAAAAGCAACAAACTTGAATAAAACCAAGAGAATAATTTTGCCTACATAATTTTTTCTTGAGTGGTATTCGGCTGGAATATTTCACGAGAAAAACAAACCAAATTTTCACTTGGAAAATTTATTTTCTTTAGGTGACACTTGTCAAACTCAATAGTTTTTTACCTTAATCAAACAAAATTTTGTCGCTGAAAAACCATCATGCTGGTTTTGCCCAGGTAGGATCAGGTATAGTCTGGCAAGTGGTATAGTCCGACAAATACCATTTTAAAGTCACGTGATACTGGTGACAAAAAACGTATGTCCATTGATTATGTCGTTCATATCACCTACAAAATGCTACTGGTGATTAATTACTATTGAATTTTAGGATATGTTCCCACTAGCATTTTACAAACGCGTTTTTTTGTAATACATTCTGAACTTAAACTGGGTACCCGTTTTCTATTTGCTTCTTTTCGAGTTGGAAAAAGGTTAATATAGTCAAAATTATTAGCTGTGTTTGTTCATTGTATTATTTTCGAAAATAACTTTGACAAACTAATTGATGACAGTGACGGATTCTATTTCAGGTAAGAATATTATGAAGAATAATTAGACAGCAATTTTTTTGTCAATTTTACTATCACCGCTGTTTGAGATGTATTCAACAAGGATAGAGAAAAATCACGTGACTTTAAAATGGTATTTGTTGGACTATAACTGGGTAGAGACGAAAGGGGGAAGAAAAGTGGGGCGTAACCTAAGAATATTCACTGACACCTCAACTGACACCGCCTGATGACAACCATGTCTTTGGGTTCAGTGGCACCGAAAACACCAGGGAAATAAACCAAAAAAAATATTAGGAAAAAAATTCTTGAGTTTCACGAATAATTACGCCACTGTTGCTGTCGTTCAGGCTCTAACCAATAGAATCATGCCTCTGAATAATCACGCCTCTCCGCTTCCTTCATTTCGTAATGTTGCCGGATTTTTTCCTATTTCAAAATACTACACGGCCCATATTGCAAACAAAAAATATGTCAGCAACTTATTTATTATTGTTTGTCAAGTTTGGCATAGCAGCAAATTCTTTTTGAGTTCGCCGTTTGGCTAGCCAGACTATAGAAGTTTTGTCAGTAGGAAACCGGCCGTTCCTATTACATTTTGCCAATGTAAAACACGTGGTAAAACACTCTAGTGAAATAGTCACAAATAAAACTAGTGAATGTAAGTGCTTGGAATAGAGACTGGTTTAACAGAATACTTTTGCTCACTGACAGCTATGACTATAGCATGAGCGTCGTTTGGGTGGGGGCAAGGGGGGGCATTTGCCCCCCTTGAAATAGTCTTTTGAACAAGAAAGCAATAAAAGAGAGTTCGTATTCGTATTGCTTTTCTCCATTTTTCCAAAATTTGTTAGGTACAGTAGACTCGTGCTGGTGTAAACACACGCTTCTGTGAACCTCCTAGTAGTATGAACAGCCAGAATGAATACATTATACATATTCTGGGCCTGGATTCCGAACCTACGATTCGATAGTATATTCTATCTATTTTATATGGACGATACTATCGAATCGTGGGTTCGGAATCCGGGCCCTGTAGTGTGAACTTTTGAGAATATCGGTAGTATGAACAATGTATTTGACTAAATGAGTTTAACAAACAATTGGTTAACCTGTTTGAAGAAAGTTTTCCGTTAAAAACAATAAAACAAAAAAGAAAAAAGTCATGGGTAACAAAGGGAATTAAGACCTCTTCAAAAAACCTTAGATTTTTGCACACACTGAGAAAATATAATCCTTCAGAATTTGTAATTAGTTACTTCAATAAATATAGATCAATTTACCGTAAAGTTATAAAAAATGCCAAAAAAAATCACTATAATGTTAGAATTAGTAATGCGAAAAATAAATCAAAAGAAATTTGGAATATAGTGAATGATCTAAGGGGAAGTCACGGTAAGGGTGATTATCAGAACGACATAGATTCAGATAGTTTTAATAACTTCTATTGTTCAATAGCCGAAAAGTTGAGGAAGGATATATGTTCTGATACTAATCCTATGGTTTATCTAGGGAATATATCTGTAATTGATTCATTTTGTCTTTACCATACTGACATAAATGAAATCAAAAACATATTCAAATCAATAAAAAATAAGTACTCAGCAGGTATTGATGGCATTTCATTGAGGATATTTATTAACCTTCCGGACTCTGTACTTGAGGAGCTTGCTACAATTATAAATATTTCTTTCGACAGGGGAATTTTTCCGGATAGCTTGGGCACAGCGTTGGTAATGCCTCTTTTTAAGGGTGGAAACTCTAACGATCCCTCTTGTTTTCGACCCATCTCAATGCTTCCTACACTTTCAAAAATTGTAGAGAAAATTGTTAAGGTTAGAATGTCTTCTTTTTTAGAAAGGCATAACCTGTTAAATAAAAACCAATTTGGTTTTCAGAGTGAGAAGAGCACTAGTGATGCAATCTTTAATTTTCTTGAGGAACTTTATCTGGGTCTGAATGGAAGAGAAATGGTAGCGGCAGTGTTCTGCGATTTTTCCAAAGCATTTGATTGCGTGGATCGCGGGATACTGTTGCAAAAGCTGTATCGTTATGGATTTAGGGGCAGTGCTTTGACTTGGCTTGGGTCCTACCTGGCAAATAGGCGACAGGTGGTTAGGGGGCGTCACGGTACATCGACTGTACGGACCATTGATTCTGGGGTTCCACAGGGTTCAGTGCTTGGCCCATTATTGTTTCTCATTTACATCAATGACCTAGCTTCCATCAATATAAATGGAGCCTTTACATTATTTGCTGATGATACCACGATACTGTGGCGTGGAACAAGCGATGATACTTTGGAAGAAACAATAAATAGAGACATACAAATTATAAAGAAATGGTGTGACACAAACAGCCTGACTTTTAACATAAGCAAAACCAATCTTATATCATTTAGGGGAAACGCTCCAAGTATCTCACTGAATGGTGGAGCTGTGGAAAGTACAGACTGTGCAAAGTTTTTGGGAGTTTTTATTGATTGCAAGTTAAAGTTTGATACGCATATTATAATGTTAAGGAAAAGGTTGGCCTCTGCTTGTTATGCTGTTAGAATTGTACATGGTGAACTTGGAGCCAAAACAGCAAGAGATGTATATTTCTCACTGATAGAGTCTCATTTGAGATATGGCATACAGTTTTGGGGCTTTGCCAGCCG